GATTCCGATGGATTTTTCTTCGTATCATCGGAATCCTGTTTTCTGATTAGTTGCAGACCGTCGTACGACGCAAATCGGATGCAGGGTGAATCCAGCATAAACTGTACAATTCACACAGACGATGGTACTGACGCATGCGCATTGCGAACATTTGGTACTCTATTGCTGGATTCACCCTGTATCCGATTTTCGTCGTACGACGCTCTTCAACCAATCAGAAAACAGAATTCCGATGATAAAAAGCAAAATCCATCGGAATCCTGTTTTCTGATTGGTTGCAGAGCGTCGTACGACGCAAATCGGATGCAGGGTGAATCCAGCATATACCTTTCTCTCTCGCACAGATGTTGGCTTCACGTTTGGTATATGGATGGCATAGGCAATTCCGCTTCCAGTAGTATATATTCTAAGGAATCTAGCAGTATACGTTTCAGCATCAATATTATTGAAGTGCCTGTGATCGTCACGATACATTCTTTGTAGACGAAACTAAACGAAACGATCGCAGAAATTGCGCAGTGAGAAGTAGAGTCTTTCTCCTGATAACAAGCCAATACAAAATTCACGATGTGTTCTAATGATAGCAGCATGAATAACGGCGTGCAGATTGAGGATGTCGGGGACGCGTTCGGATCATTTGGCAGGTATGTATATACATGTTGATACGAGTCGTACTTGAATCACTGGCGTCTACATGTGGCTCGAGGCACACTCGTATCACATAATTCGCCATACAATGTAAACCATCGTCATAAATGTCTCTATACAAAGCATCGTAATTATTTACATTTCAAAATTTAACAATATTTAGTTATATTATGGTGGGATACATACATATATATGTATCTAATAATTGAACTCGTAACAAAGGAAAATATTGTTCGAGCTGGGTACCTATTATGGAAATAATCGGAATGGATTCCGATCGGTATTATTCAATTATTCCCTCGATTTCTATTGTGTTTTCTGGGGAAAACGAAATAATTCCGATCGGAATCCACTCCGATTATTTCCATAATAGGTACCCTGATGTACACGTTATCATGTATGAGATATAGATCAAATTGTTTGATACGCAGTAGCCGTATTCGGAAACGTTACTCGGATGCCTCCGATTCATCATCTGTCCTTGTTCAACACTTAATGTTAATCCGAGCAATGTTTCCGAACGCAGTCAGTATCGTCTATTAGGAGACTGCTCGAAAGGAGTTGTTGCTAAGTCGCATTGAATGGATTAACTTCCATCAATTTGTGAATATGTACAATTCTCAACCTGTTTCAAATTTATCTTTCGCTGAATAGTGTCTCATATAATATGAGATATCATGTAGAGTAACTGTCCCTGTTAATGTGCCTTTTAGCCAATTTGCTTATTACTGAATTAGTTATTAAATATTGTAGCTTTAATTTTATCTGCTTTTGCTATCAATATCGGTTTTTTAACTACTTATTTTTCTTATAATATTTTTTTAATCTAAAAAATGTTAATACTTTATAATGCTTTTGACAAAAATAGAAAACATGTTTTTGTCCCTATTAGTCAGTCCTCTAAGCGGCGATGGCCTTATTATAATAATATGCCCCCAATTTGTGTGCCTATCCACATTTGACTCATTTTAACATATAGTTACTAAAATAATTTTTTTTTACGGATATGGGTAGCGCATAAATAGCGCATTATTCCATAATTTTTTATTGAAGACTAATTTTCGGCAATTTTTAGTAATTAATGTCTTGGTAACTATCGCGAAAATTGCAAAATGGTAGAGGACTTTTCGACTTAGTTTAGTCCGCTTTATCATTTTTGGACACCCTGTATATACACTCGTCAACAAAATTATCGCTTAGGTAAAATATCAAAATAAGCATAACTCCACGAAAAATGGTCACAATTGGACACCACCAATCACAGCGACCAGTGCTTAGGAGCTTTGTAGTCTCAAGCGCTGTGAGTGGCTCGTGTCCCCCCCCCCATATTTAAGTTTTTTTTTTTTCATTTTTAAAGGTAAAGTCTATACTTTTCGAAGCTTTCAATGGATTTTGAATCTATCCTTATCTCTACCTGGCGTCTTTTCAAAAATAAGGACGTGTTTTTTTTTTAAATTTGCATAATTTGACGTGTGGCACCCAGTTGGACACGACTCAATTGGACACGAGCCACTCACAGCGCTTGAGATTACAAAGCTCCTAAGCACCGGTCGCTGTGATTGGTGTCCAATAGAGCCGTGATCAATCAGGATCACCCCAATTTGACGTACTCTACAGGGTGGAGTAAATTTTTTTCGTAAATGCCATGATAACCATCGTAAAGTATTGACTTTTCTCTTACAAATAAAAAAAAATTAAGCTTTGTACGATTTTTTTTCAAGGAGATACAGTGTATCAAATTTACCTATGCATTTTACTCGGTTACCGCCAACATTAGCATTACCCGATACGCACCACGGGGAGGTTGCTGATTCGATTTTGCGCGCGCGCATGCGTGTGAGAGGTATGTGGGGGTATTTGCTCTTTTAAAATTGTGTATTTCCGCCTGGTCTTCGAATGAGGAACAGCCAACAAATCTGCAACAACTTGAAGCAGCATTGCATCGAATACGATTGAGAAATTCAGGCTTCAATTCGAAGATGAGACGGAAATATACATTTTTAAAAAGTGAGTATACCCCCACACTCCTCACGCACGCACACACACTCACACGCGTGTGCGTGTGAGTATACTTTCTGTATTTGACTCTGGATTCTAATTTCTTTTTAACTTAAAACATGTAGAACAATAGGAAATTCTTTTTACAGAAACAGCGCAGCTCCTGCTTCTAATGTAGTACAATTGGCACCCACCCAGCGTTATGAAATGTACTATAATATGAATCATTCCAAGCGTGGTCTAGCTCTTATCTTCAATCATGAATTTTTCACTGTCTCGCATCTTAAACCTCGTTGTGGTACAAATGTTGATTGTGAAAATTTAAAAGCCACCCTGAAAGATCTTGGTTTCGAAGTAAACGACTATCACAATTTGACTCAAAAGGATATAGTCAAACAATTAGAAAGAGGTAAGCTGCACTTTGAAAAACATGTACATGTTCATCATTCCTTTAAGAAACTTGTATTTCAGAAATATTTATATTTAAAAATATATAGAGAAACCCAATTGAAACATTTCTTATATTACTTTATAATATTTTTAAGAATTTGTCATTTTAAAAGGCCCAGCTGAATAAGCATATGTTGCTCCAAATCAAATCCAATTTTGAGTACGGCACATTGTTAAGCTCGATAAAAGATTATTTTACATCAAATTTCAACCTGCTAAACTTATCCATGTAGTAATAATGATAAAAAAACGTCAATTTTTTATTTTTATTTTTCTATCACATGAATTATAAAATCCAAAAAAATGTGACATTTTTTAGCATGTTACATCTAAAAAAATTTTTTTTAGATTTTTGACGAAAATTTGAATTTAAAAAAATGAAAAAAATTGTTAATGCATGTTTTTTATTGAAAATATTTGAATACTATTTTCAAAAAATTATGGTGAATTAATCATTCCATGATAAATAAAATATGTACTCAGATTTTTTTGAAGGCGTGAAGCATTGTGTCAAAAGTGAGTGACTTCATTTTGTTAAACTATTTTTCTATGTCTGTAATTTCATTGCTGAAGAAAAGTCCAAAGCGATTCGAAACAGTTTGGAATATTGATGACTATCCTTGTAAAGTAATAGAAGTTTTTATATCATAACTTGCGCCTTTCTATTTGCGCTGTACTCTCATTAGTCTTGATTTTCTTTATTTGTTATATGATAGAAGAAACTCACCATAGTTGGATTTCTTCCACCATGGTTTATTGTATTAAAATTTTAGATTGTATGATTGTTACATTTTAATTTATCTAAGAAAATTTCTGAAAAGTTATGAAATTGTAAGAAAAATAAATTCTGAAATTACATAAAAATATCTAAAAATTATATGCAGGATTTTAAGAAACATTTTTACTGTTTGGGAAGCGTCAAATATTGTTTTATAAGAATATCATATAATAAAAATCATGTAAAACGAGCAAATTATTGTTTTTATAGTCGCGGAAATGGATCATTCTGAGCATGATTGCTTAGTGATAGCTGTATTAAGTCACGGTGAACTTGGATTGCTCTATGCTCATGATGGTGCATACAAAGCGGATTCTCTATGGCATTATTTTACTGCCGATAAATGCCAGAGTCTTGCTGGTAAACCTAAGTTATTCTTTATTCAAGCTTGTCAGGGTGATAAGCTAGATCCGGGCATTACTCTTAAAGAGCGTACCGAAACGGATGGATATCCCTCCTCGATATTTCGCATTCCTACTCAAGCGGACTTTCTCATTGCCTACTCAACCATCCCAGGTATTATTATGTGTATTATCTGAATATTAAATCATGGAAAACTAATATTCTGTAGAAGGCAAATTGCCCGACTTAAATACTCAAAATTGATTTTTGAAAATTGTTAGGTTATTATTCCTGGAGGAACACCAGCCGTGGATCCTGGTTTATGCAGGCATTGTGCATAGAATTACGCGATAACGGTACTCGTTGTGATTTATTGACTATGCTGACATTTGTATGCCAACGCGTTGCCGTGGATTTTGAGTCCAACACGCCCGACAACATGGCTATGCATCAGCAAAAACAAATTCCATGCATCACCACTATGCTGACGCGTTTAGTAAAATTTACACCTCCAAGGAATGGAGTTGTATAGCCTGTAGGGTAATGAAAATCACATCGCATTTATATACCTATTTACGGTATTCAAGCCATATCGTTTGTTGCAAAGTTGTAAATGGTGCAAGTATCAATTTTATTCATGTACCACAGATTGCTAATATGATTGTCGCATATTACATGCTAGACATAGAATCAAGTTTTATACGTATATATTTAAATCATTTTTAAATGATTTCATATAAACTATTCTTCGTGTCTCACTGAAAGAATTTATCTAGATTAATCCCAATATTGCTGCAAAATCTCTGCATTATTGCTGCAACATGCAATGTTGCAGCAGTGTTGCTACAATTTTTGTGCAACTTTGTGCTGTAGGGGATTACAATAATACAAAATAATTATTTTTCTTAACAGCAACAGATTTTTATGAAAATATTTTTTTTCTTTTGCTCACGTTATTGTTCCTCCTGTCTTTACTAGGAAAAAACATCATTACTGCCAATCTCTTTTTTCCCCATATTTTTTAATTTTCATTTATATATTTCTACATGACAAAAAAGCATTTTATTGTGTTGTGATAAAAATAGCATTTCAACTTTTTTTTAACATATAGCATAATTCACATTTAAAGTATTAAAATATAAAATATCACTTAAAAAGGAACTTCAAAAACTATCTTGCTCGTAACATTCTCATTTCATACAATTAAAAGATGTGATCCACTTAACGCTGAAAATACTTCATCAGACCAATCAGAAGAAAGAATTTTATGATTTTTTTTTTATCAATCAAAAAATACTTCAAAGCATTTACAGCATGAAATAGATCACATTCACGATGTTATATAAGTACAAATACAAGAGTTATCGACTGCAAAAGAATATAGTCATGTGCAAAAGTATCAGACACTTACGATTTTCTTGTATTTTACGAAAAGTTAAATATCTCGACGAAAAAAAATCTCAGAGAGGTTTTCGATAACGCATTTTAAAGCATAAAGATAGGGCTTTGAATCTGCGTTTGAATCTTTTATCTACGATATTTTGTTCCGAAGTTACATAAAATTGAAAAATGATTTTAACTTTACAATATTTTTGTCTTTAAGGGGATGCTAAAACGATTATCTAACTCGATCAAGGTTGATAGTACAAACTTTTTAAATTCCAAATTCGATAATAGTGGTGACATCTTTGATTTAGTTTTTACATTATATTATATAATATATATCATTCTGTCTTACTCAAACGCAT